AGGAGTAGGAGCAGCAGTAGGAGTAGCAGTAATAGTCGTCGTCGTAGTCGTCGTCGTAGTCGTCGTCTTAGTCGTAGCACTAGTCGTAGTGGCAGCTGTGGTAGTAGTCGTCGTCGTAGGAGGGAGGGTGGTCGTAATAGTCGTCGTCGTCATCATCGTCGTAGAAGTACTGGTCATACCGCCACCACCAGCAGCAGCAGCAGCAGCAGCAGCAGCAGCAGCGGCAGCAGCAGCACCACCAGCAGCAGCAGCACCACCACCACCACCACGACGACGACGACTACTACTACTAATCCTGCTTCTACTACACCACTGCTACTGCTTTGACTACTCATCCTGCCGCTACCACTGCCCCCTTCCGTATACCACTACCAGAACCACTTGGTCATAGCTAGATGTCTTTCGGGCCCAGTTAGTTTGAAGCACGTGTCGAGCCTTGGGCTCCTTCGATTGGAAGAAAAGTTATGGGCTGTCCCCCAATCAGGATTCGTCATTTGTGAGCTGGGTTCTCCTGTCAAAGTCCTGGCAACATCGGGGACCATACCAATACCTGGCTCGCTTGTTTACGTACACCGATGATAAAACGTGCATTTGTGGGCAGGTGTCCGGCCAGGCTGGAACTACTTGTGCTACAACTCTTGGGTTAATTCGAACCATACATCTGCCCCTGAATGCTTCAAGTCCAGGCATACCCATGCAAGCAGATGACCTGCCTAACCTGGCTCGTACCAATTCCGTATGCATCTTGAAACCTGAGAACCGCAGAATTCGTCTCCTTGTGCCGGCTTGCAGGTGCCCTGGCACAGGCCGGAAATCTTGGATGTGCCCCGAGCCTTGCTGCCTTTGGTCTCACTGCTGTGACTGGGGCTTTGGCGGCCTCCTGGCCACTGGGCGACGAAGTTACTTGATTCGGGTTTGGGGGCGTCTTCCTGTTGTCTGTCGCCTCTCTCTCTCTACCTCTCTCTTTGGTGTTTCGTTTTCTTGTTCAGATCCGGGCTTGGACAGGCAGTTGACGCATTGCATGGAGCCGAGCCAGGAACACGGGCCAAGATCTAGTCGAGAACACGGTAACTTCTGCTTCTCGAACAGGAACGCGGACATGTGCGGTTGCAAGGCCTCCAGGGCTCCACGAGGCCCTCAAACCAAGCCGTTGGATCTCATAAGTGACCTGCCACTTTCAGACCTGGTCTTGCGCTGCAAGATTTTCTGTGCGTCTAGGAACCGGGATCCACCTGTAGAATTCTGCGTGGTTCGGAAGGCCGGGTGTCGCAGCCGGCGTGGCTTTCTTGGGCGCTGTCGTCTGGAAGGGGCTGCAAATCGAGAAGGGCTCTGAGAGTCGAAACGGCAAGGTGCCTGGGAGGGCTGCTGCCGGAGGGTTTCGGTGACAGGAGATTTTGAACCATCCCTAACATGTGTCTTGTGCGCAGGTCGTCGTAGCAGTACTAGCATTACTAGCAGCACCTGGAGCCGCAGTGTGGTAGCAGAGTCCAGTTTCGGACAAGTCGGTAGTTGTCCGAAGCATATCAGCTGGAGCAATCGATGATTCAGTTATGCTTTCCATGTCACGCATTCCAATTCTGCCCATTGTGATCCTGCACTGGTGCAGCCAAAGACACTCCACCTATCGTTAGCTTGATTGACTTGTCCCGGTGTATACGTCTGGAAGGACAAGGCGAAGCGCTTGATCACTTCGATTGCGGTCGGCCTGGGCTTGAGGCTGCTACCCTTCAAGGACCTCCCCCAGTTTCGTTTTGTGTCTGGATGGGCGCGTGATCGCGAGACCCGAGCCATATCAGGGTTGTGCCATGTAGCCCATTGAATCTGACGGCGTCCCACGAGTATGCTTCTCGCTCTGCATACGTCCACCAGTGTGAGTGCTAGAGCAGAGCCGCTGCAACAACTCACTCCCGTTTCGAGTCGTCCCGTGGGCAGGATGCCTCATGGATTTACTCTCTGGGGATGGTCATGCTCTTCGCATGGAATCGCAGGCATGAGATTTGCTAAGCTGCTTTCCTAAGCCTAAGGCCTCTTGGCTGGTGTCTTTCTGTACGTCGTAGGTGTGCCAGCGCAATATGTCGCATGGGTTTATGCATGTATACATACACATAAATGTGTGTGATTGTCTATGCATAAGAGATCCAGGCCATGCCCATGTACACCCAAACAGAAGCACATGCATAAATACATACACGACATGAGTACGCGCCTGCTTGTGTACAGCTTTGCATCCGTCCATTGATCCGTCCATCCACCCATCGATCCATGCATGCATTACACACATGCATGTATCTGTACATCAATCTACCTATCAATCTATTTGTCTATCAACCTATCTATCTATCTATCTATCTATCTATCTGTCTATTTTGTTTATCTATCTATGTATCTACTTATCTATCTATCTAACTACCCACCTACCTATCTATATATCTATCTATGTATCTATTTATCTATATATTTATCCATCTCTCTATCTACTTATCGTTCAAATCTATCTAATGATTCTATCTAGTCTATTCATCTAGTTTATGTAGTCTATCTATCTAATCTACCTAATCTATCCGCCTTATCTGTCTGTCTGTCTGTCTATCCATCTCAGAGTAGCTTGAGTCAGCAAATCCGGGCGATTGTCTGCAAATCGAGTCAGAAAACCAGCAGCTGCCTGTCGCAAAAGGGGCGGCCTCGAGTCAAAATCAAGCAGCCGCAGAAGTCAAAAAGCAGGAAGATCCAAGCAGAAAGCCGCAAGCTGGATATGGGAAAACAGTAAACAGAAGCGACCACGCAGTACCTCCTCTTGCACTCACAAGCAGTTGTACGCTAGTTTGCATTTCTGTCTGTACGTTTCCAGCGATGGATTGGACATGTTTGACGCTGGAATGTCGGGCAAGTTTACACTACATTTCCATTTCCGGGAGCATGTCGTTGCGTTACATAGAGTTCCTTGATGTTTGCCGTGGCTGAAATGTCGGGCAAGTTTACGCTACATTTCCAGTAAAATGTGCTGCCGTCGCATTGCACTTCCTTGGTGTTTGCCGTTTCGGGCTGGGGCTCTTCCGATAGTGGCTCTAGGGGTTTGCTGACTGCGACTGTGCTGTTGATGACTTGCATCCGGACTGCTTGCCGATTCTGCCCCTGATGTTTTGGACTCTTTCTGCTGACTCGGACCCTGCCATACCCTGCCCCTACTTATCTATCTATCTATCTGTCTATCTATCTATCTATCTATCTATCTATCTTGGTATCTGTCTATCTATCTATCTATCTATCTATCTATCTCATCTAAACTATCTATCTATCTATCTATCTATCTATCTGTCTATCTCTGTATCTGTCTGTCTGTCTGTCCCTCTATCTCTCTATCTGACGATCTACCGATCTACCTATTTATATGTCCATCGACCTCGCGACAAAGATGCGAATTGTAAGACATGTCCGGGATTGGTCGCTCGGCCGTCAGCTCTGTGGGCACGAGGGAAAGCAAAATGCACATGTACCGCAAAGGTTCAAACATTCAGGCGATTGGAAGACATGCGCCGCGAATGCAGATCAATGAACGGTTTCATTGCTTTCGCTGCACCAGAGTGCGAGATGTACATACTCTTACATGTACATGTCCTGTTTCATGTTGTTTTGTTTTCCCATTCCTAATCGTATACACATACGACACAGACAAACACATATGCCTACTTTCCTCTCTACCCGGTTACATATGGAGGTTGCCGAAAATAAGGGATTGTAATATAGCAGGATCCTTACTTTCAGAACCCCAAACTAAGGTATCCTAATTTTCGAAAGCTCCCTTTTGTAGGTATGTACATGCGTGCATACATAGATGGCCACAGATGTGTAAGAATGCGCCTTGTTTCTTCCGTATGCAGAGAGGAAGCATGATTCTCTCGATTTCCCCATATTTACCCGCCGATGCCCTTCGCTTAAACTTCCTGCGGTTCTGCAGCTATCGCACCAACACCTAGGTATGTGCTTACAGGCATGTTGATTCAAGAAACAGATGTTTGCGTAGGTTCAGGAGTCCGTTGCGATGAATCAACGGAACGTTGTCCGTGTGTCTTTCCTCTCGCCCCGGTTGCGAGCCAGTTTTGCTCAAGTTTTATCACGCCATCCCATACTACTATCCGCTACCGAAGAAATCCCTTCGAGCAATGGCGTCTCTCCACGCTCAGCAATTTGAGATCCTCGTGGCGTGCACGTGCAACTGCTTCTCCTCAGTGGGAATGCTTCTGTTCAACAAGCTGGCTGTCCAAGCGCTGCCTTTGGAGTGCAGTTTGGTGCCTTGCCTCGCTTCAGGCGTGTTTAACATGTGCGCTTCAGCCGGGGGCGGTAAAGCTCCAGTTATGCCCAGGGTGAGTCTTGCCGACGGCCAGAAAGTCACAGATACCGAACGTACACCCTGCAAAACATCTGTGAAGCAGCGTGCGGTTTGCCACGGTGCAAAACTAGGTTGCGCTAGAAACACGGAGAAAACCACGGCCCAGGTTTGGCTGCAGCTCTTCTTTGCGGCCTTCTTCATGCTAATCTTTGGCTTCCCCTACTTGCATCTCGGCCAGCAGCAGCAGCAGCCGCAGGAGGGGGAGGAGGAGGAGCAGCAGTAAAGTAGTAGTAGTTGCAGCAGTCGTAGCAGCAGCAGCAGGAGCAGCCGCAGTAGTAGTAGTAGTAGTAGTAGTAGTAGTAGTAGTAGTTAGTAGTAGTAGCAGTAGCAGTAGTAGTAGTAGTAGTAGTAGTAGTAGTAGTAGGCGCCCCCCTACCACCCACCTCTGCTACAAACCCTCTCAAGAGCACATCCGTTTTACTCGGTATTTATGGCATGTTCGTCGTGTCATACCACTTCTTTTTACCTCAAAATCCACTCCTGGATTTGGGGCAACTTGGGCTTCGGATTGGGGTTGGGGGGGGGGGGGTAGGGGGGGTGAGGGGAGCCGAGGGGGGGATGAGGACGACATTGTTACACAGACACCCCGAACAATATCTCCCACAAACGCAGTTTCTCTCGGTATTTACCTGCTTATATAGTCACCAAACCTACTTCTGGACTTTGCGAACTCGACTTTGGGATTTCGGAGAGCTTTCTGCGAAAACTCGAAATTGGGTGGGGGGAAGATCACGACACTGTTTCGTGGACACCCCGGACAGTATCTCCACACCTAGCGGACCTAGCGCGCGCACACCACAGTACTTCAAAAGCAAACCCTCCTACGCCGAGGTCTGAGCTTTAGGGATGTTGGCGAGCAATGCTGGCAGTCATCCAGTCCGGTTTCAAAAGGGATTTTGGCGAGCTCCTCCCACGTACAGCTGGCATCTTTGCTTGTGTTGTTTATAAGCTGTTGAGGTTCACGTTTTTGCGAGTGTTAAAACCTTCTTGGCAGCACCTGCGCTGGCCGCAGTATTTACAGCGGTTTCGTACTACCCGACCACCTGTGCTTTAGCAGTTTCTTCCCCGTCGAGTTTGCAACTCCAACTGCTGTCCCAGTCAGTTTTAAAGTTTTGGGACCTGCGCCTCTGCAACTTCACCGGCTGTGACAGTTAAGCCAAATCAGCCTCTGCAACTTCTGAAGCTGTCACAGATAGGGAGCCTGAGCCCCTGCATCTTCTGCAGCTGCCGCAGTTGGGGGGCCTAGAAGCTGCCCTTGCCCAGCCCGGATGGCGCCAGTGGTTGGTATGGGGGGGGGACTAGTAGTAGCAGCCGGCGTAGCAGTAGCAGTAGCCATAACAGTAGCCGCAGCAGTAGCAGTAGCATTAGCCAGCCTGATCGGCGACGCACCTCATGCCATCGCTGCCTGGGTTCCTGCCAAATCGTTGATCTCGGAGGTGTGAATCTCGCACAATTTGCTTCCGCAGCGGCATGGTGTTACTTGCACGTTGTTGGATCTTGGGTGTCTCCGGTCTTGCCTCTGCGGCGATACCATGTTATGTCGAGCGTCGCGTCTACACTTTTGTCATCATATGATTTGGCCTTCGCATGTTCCAAGCGTTCTCTTTTCACCTCGGCCATAGCTAACTGTGTCAGCTGCGGATTAGGACTGGAAGAACGACTCCACCGAAAGCTCTGGCAATTGGGCGCTGCCCCAGGAGGGACCGCAGCGTTGCACGGTAGCCCTACGTGGTGGGAAGCAGGTCGCATGCTCGGATGCATGCAGCAAGACAGCTCTGCGATGTCTCCATTGAGTGGAAGATGGTGGCCTACTGGGTGAGGTGACCGCTTGGCGAGGGTCGATGACCCAGCTCATGGGTAGCTTGGCTGAACGGGCTGTCACAGGCAACCGCAAGAAATCTGTCAAGCGCCAGCTAGGTGCATGTGCTGGGGATCTGGTCGTGGACGTGGCAGTGTCCATTCAAGCAAGGCGAAGCTGCCTGGAGATACTGAGGAGCTTGCACTTTCTGCAAAGCTTCGTGCTCTCCCAGCTTGGTGCCCTTCAGGAGTATCCGTTCAAAGAAGTGCGTGGTCGCCCAACTCAAGCGATTTTGTGTCAGTCGTGTTTGGACAGCGATACTGTGCTCTCCGAGTACAGCCGCTGTGGGCATGAATGGCAGCCGCAAGTAGCCAGATCTGCCATGGCCTGGGAGAGTTTGCGCGATGAGGTCATGGGCCATGACTACAATCTTCCGTTTGGACCGTGGGGTATGGAAGCGGAGCCGACATCGACACTCGGAGCAGAGCTTCAGCCATTCGTGGTTTTCGTTCCAAGCGGAGTCCCAGGTTGTCTGTTCATCGAGAACTGCTGCAGAATCCAAACCTCGTGATGTTCTGCACCTCCCAGCACCTCTGCAATTTCGTGGAGCGCTTTTCGGAGGGCTTCTTGAACACAACTGCGACATAGCCATGCTGTGATCGTGCTGAAGCCATGTCGCAGTCGCTGGGCTGTGTTGAGCTGAGGTGGTGTTCAGACGTGCCTGTGCTACTGCGCTGACTATGGTGCCTTAGCGGCTTGGCCAGCTGTTCTTGTCCAGTGGCGGTTCTTTCGGCAGGCTACTTCGACAGCATCCACGGTTTCTTGCCTCCGGCCTTGTGCGACAAAGGGCAGTATGTTGCGGGCCCAGATGTCATTCCCTGGCCAGCCGGAGCTTTTGTGTAGGTTAAAAGGCAGGCCGGGTGATGGGCGAACTGGTGTCTCGCTCGTCCGTCTGCCTGTCTGTTCGTTTGTCTGTCTTTCTGCGTCTGCTTCGAGATGTTTGTGTTGCGTGTGTGTGTGTGTGTGTGTGTGTGTGTGTGTGCGTGGGAGTCTGTCCAGGCAAGGAACCATAACATGCTGTGCCTTCTATACAACATGCTCTTCTATTTGCGATCTGACCAGTGGCAGGGATACGCCGGAGCTGCCGCTGTATCGGCTGGATGCCACCAGGGGCTACTGTTTCATCCCTTCATCACCGCCATGGGCAATGCAGCTGCGAGGGTGCTTGAGATTCGACTTTCTATCCCCGACCTGTCGGCTTCACAAACTTCGCAGCTCACTGTAGAGGTTCATGCCGGCAGCGTCACTTTGCGCCCCGAGTGGGGTCGGTATTTCAGCTTGGCTCCGGAATCGGACGTGTACATATCTATCTTCTCCATTCTGGAAGGCTGCAAATCGGAACTTGGTCAGATCAAGCTCCCTGCCATTTCGGATCTCGTTCCCGGCAGCCCACCTCACGTGATGCGATTTGCTGTTGGGACTGCCTCGCTGGTGGTAGAGGTGCGAGCGCTGGATTCCGTACAAGCGCGAGCCGAGACCAGACAATCGACATTTCATTTTCAGCTGCCTTCAGCCCGGCGCCAAGCGATCGCACTGGAGCTGCAAAACGCTGAGTTGCAGAAGCTGGCCAGCAATGGAAATCATACAACCTGTGCTGCGCCCATGAAGCACCGTTTACTTCTTGAACGCGCGCAGGCGCCGTGCTTAGTTGCAAAGGAAAGTCAAACAGCCTTCGTACACATGGTGACTGTACCATTACCCAGCACAGGTGAAATGCACGCATGTGGTTTCTTGGCCTGTCAGTAGATCGGGGACTGAGGCAGCAAACTCCCAGCTGCGTGAGCAGAAGCAGCGCCTACTGCAGAAGCTGGAGCGAGTGCAAAGCATAGTGTCGGAGCAGGCACCGAGCTCACACCGAGCTGACCAGCTGCTTGAAGATTCCCAGCAAATCCAGGTAGGTTTGCAGACTGAATTACACACGGCACTGGCAAGGCAGCGAGCCTTGCGTGAGGCCAGTGAGGCTAGGATTGAGGCCATCACCTTGCAGCTGGAGCAGGCGGAAATGAAGATGGGGGGTGCCATGCCAGAGGCAGAGGCTCAGGCTCTGATTGCCATCGCAACCGGTCGGTGCGAAGAATTGCGAAGATTGTGCAGAGAATCCGAAGAAATCAATGCCACGCTGGTGGCAAGCGCCTCACCGGCGGCACCTCGGGCTTCGTCGGGCTTGGAAACACTAAGTCCCGAAATCGATGCTTTGCTAGGGCAACTTGAAGGCCAGCACACCGAGCTGCAGCGATTGCACCGAGAGCTTGACATGATTTCAGAAAGCGACAACTACAAGGGATGGCAGAAGCACAAAGAGATGTCTTTCCTGATGCAAACTTTGTCGGAAGAGCTGGAGCAGCTGCAGCAAACAGGCCGAGACGATGAAGTTTGTTTCGAGAGCGAGATCCTGGAGCTGAAGCGAGAAAGAAGCAAAGCGAAGAACCGATTGGAGGACCTCGTCTCGGATCTCAAGCGATTAGAAGCCCGAGCCGAAATGCTGAGGACGGAGACACCTCAGGTAGCGACAGAGGACAGCGTGTTGCAGCGCGAGTCTTGCAAGAAGGCCGAGGCCAAGTTACGCGAATTACGGCAGATTGAAGAGGTACGGCAAAAGCAAATCCGTGCATTGGAACGAGACCAGGAGAAGCTCGTTGAGCAGACCACCCTGGCAACAGCAAAGGTGGTGCCAGCTGGTGGAGAAGATGCCCAGCGAGAAGCCACCAGCAGAATTGCGGAGTTTGACCAAACTCTATCTGGACTGGTGGCGACCTTTGAGGAGAAGCAAGATGCCGCAGCAAAGATGCGACTGCAGACGGACCAGGTTTTGAAGAAAATTGCAACGTTGCAGCAAGCATTTTCCGAACTGCAACGCACGTCGGATGAGCGAGTGCTGCGAGACCCGCAGCCCCGACAGGTGGCCATAGCATCCTGACCGAAGGCCTGAGCACGACCGAGTGCCAAGTAGACAACGTCGACGTAGATGTTGACATGCTGCGAAAAGCGCAGGCATGCGTTGCATGTACACTGTGACTGCACAGATAATGGCGAGGATAGTAGCTTCGCGGTGTTCCTGCACTCGCCAGAAGGCATTCCGCTTCATGCTGAGGTCACCTTCATCAGTCCTTGCCCAGCAAAGGGCCTTGCAGTGGTACTGCGCTTGGCTTTGATGTTCCCTGGCTCGCGCTATCTCCGTCAACAGAATCTGTTCTGAAGTTGTGTCCCCCCTAAACAGGTTTGCCAACATCCAGTTCCTGTGCGTCAGCACGGGGTGGACAAAGACTTTGCACGAGGTCCAGTTGTAGCTGGCCAAGAAACAGAAGACTGAGCTCTAGTTCATCATGGAGTTCAGAAGCCCCACAAAAACACGCCGTGCACCTGCGACCAATGCTGCCGAGGCGAGCACATCCCAATATCGAAGTCGTGGCGGGGACTGACAACATCGAAGAAATCTACCGACAGCTGCTTGTCACGCTACACGCCAGCGCAGTGCTGACTCCCAGCCCGCCTCGAACTCTGAAGCCAAAGGCTTTGTTGTCCAACACTCGAGACTCGAAATCAGCATGCAAAGGTTTGTGTAGGATCAATGGCAGCAGCAGAGCGAGTGCATTATCTAGTCTCGACATGAGTCAAGGACAGCTCTCCTGCTGATGCCTTCGCTTTGGCAAGAGTCCTTTGGCCTGGTTGCAGTGGAGGCACGATGACACAGTATTTAGCTTCCGTCAATTTAACCGCGAGCGTCAGGCACAGCTCCGTGGTATTCCTGTCGTGAGCACCGCAGCCTGCGGCCTAAGGGAGGCAAACTTCCTTGAGGCACCGGGCAGTTGGAACTAGTTGGGAGCTCGTGGTGGATGTCATGGTCGCTTAATTAGAGCTCAGCTCGTGTGTTGTGAGACTGTGACACCTTCTCAAGCTGTGTTTGGCATTGTGCACGGAGCCATTACTTTGGCGTGGTACTGCAGGTCTGGGCAGGACCTTGTCACTAGCAACAGCAAGAGAGAACTACAAGTTACCAGCATTTACCACACCAGCATGTAGAATAGGAGGCCAGAGCGGCCACGGCGCAATGGGAAACCTTCAGCTGCGATGTCTGGAGTGTGGTGGATGCAATGAGTTTCAGGACAACTGTGGCCCTGATTGCCAGATCGCTCCCAAGAAGCGTTCATCCGATTTGGTTTTGGGGAAGACGTGTGCAGCTATGAAGGTTCTCCGCGACCCGGAGCTGTATCTCAGCGAGGAGAACGACGATGACACTTTTGACATCCTGATGCACTTGCAGGGAAACTGGTACTGCGAGTCAGATGGGCAGCTTGTCGGATCTGTGTCTGGCTCTCTGATCACTTGGATCAGACCTTGGGTCCCGACTAGCGGCGTCGTGGGCAGTCGCATGCCAAATGAATCAGAAGCGCATGTGGCCCTGGAGATGGAGGGCCATGTCCTCATCGGACAAGTCTGTCTGGAAACACAGAAGAGCATCGTTTGGAACAATGGACAGGTGTGGCTGCAGAAATAGCTGTCGAAATTGCATTGTCAGCATTCTGAACCCCAGCATTTTAAGCATGACATTTCACCACGGCACAAGCCTGGGCGAAGCACGAAGTGCTCGGGCCCTCCTCATTTTGACGTGCCTGTGTGGATCCCGATCCGATGCATCAGGCCTCATGCATCGCGGAATTACAGAAAAAGTATCACAGCTTCGCATGCTGATTTCTTCTGAGGAATGTATCTTCTGACACATGTCTCGCTCCGCAGAGCTGAAACATGCAGGAGCTGCAGGTGCAAAACGTGCCTCTCGTGCACGACTCCAGGACATGGCCTGTGCAGCAATGCGGGGTGACCGGCGAGGTGTGCCGGATGGGGCCTGTCAGGACTCGTGAGATGCTTCGTGGCATCACCATGGAAGATGCAGAGCTCACTCTCAACCCTTTGCGGCCGGGCCATGACAGCACAAAAGGCAGAGACGCCTGTGAAATGTGGCGACTGCACACGAGCTTTCCGGCTCTGCTTTTCCACATACTTGAGAGTGACCACTGAAAACCCAAAGACGTTGCAGGCAGTCGCTGGTATGTGCACGTGGCTCATACGATCGTGGCCACGGAGGCGGAGGCTGCAGGCTTTGCCAAGCTGGTGCAGATGCTTGCCGCCTGGCAGATTCGAGAGACCGATGTCTGCTTTGAGCGTGAGTTGTGTAGTCAAGGGCGGATCTGCCCAGACCCCAGGTCAACGACGTGTCAAGACGACAACACCTCGGAAGCATTGCCAGGGAGCGGCGGGCAGCTCAGCAAGCCACTGACAGAGCCTGATCTGTGCCTTTGAATGCTGCTGAGGGCCATTCGACATGTCACAAACCGGAGATGCCGCTTCGGACAGGCGCTGAAGGCCTGGCTAGCGCTTGACCGACCTTATTTCGCTTCAGCAGTCGTTGAGTCCTGAGCCAAAGCAGGAGTTGCTGGATGACCGCAGTACAGCCTAGCGATCCGGTGGCCACGCTGGCTGCCCACTCCAGATTTCAAGTCCTTCGAGCACACAAGGCCTCTGGCGTCCATCGCCAGCGCAGTCTCGGAGCCAAGGTGGTGCCGAGGTGCACAAACACGAGAACCGGCCAGCTCATGTTGTGCTTGACGCCGTGATCGCCGATGGTTGCTTTGCATCCGGAGACCCGCAGAACTTGCCGAAGAACTGAAGCTGGAATTTGTAGATTCACATGAACTCGCCAAGACCTTGGCATGTAAATGCCTGCGCATGATGCATGCGTGTCCGCAGCATGTGGCGAAGGGGTCTCAAGAAAGACTTGGTGAGAAAGCGCGTCGCCGTTGGAACCTACGAATCAGGTTCTAGCAGTGACCAGTCAGAGCAGGAAATTTTCAGAAGGCAGAGAGCACTCGGCGGAACAGAAAAGTCTTCTGCAAGACAGTCGTCGCCATCATCAGCTTGCAGAGGTTTCCAGTCCACTCAGAGCTAGTGGAAAACACGGACCAAGCCTCTCTTCGCACAATGCTCGATGAATTCTCGGAAAGCCACCCTCGTGTGCAGCGCTCCACTTGGCAGTTGCCGCATCATTGGTGTCAGTCAGGTTCTGTGATGCGGCGCGCACCCGTCGGAAAGCTGCCAGGTCCTTGTTTTGAAGGGTTTTCCAGGATGTTGAAGCGCTCTCAGTTAGAGCATACCTTGCCTATTTAGATGTATTATGGCACCGCACGCATACCAACAAAACCACATTTTCCAGTCGTTTTCCCAACCACTGAGCATACCACGCCATGCCNNCCCCCCCCCCCCCCCCCCAATTTTCCAAATGCTTCTCAATGAGCATACCATCAATTTTCCACCACTTATTCCAACGTTTCACACCTCATTTTGGCATGTTTACCCAGCCAACCACTTTCCCCCAAGCGTCCAAGTCTTCCGCATCCCATTTTTCAACGAACATTCCAACAGCCCTCACCCACCAAAATCGCATCATTTTCCCACAAGCGCTGTTCCACAGTGTTTTCCATCAACATCCGCACACTTCCTCCCGTCATCAGCCATTGATGACCTACCACCCGACAATAGGCAAAGCCCGCCTGAGAGGAAATGCTACCGCCCAACCCCCACCCTAGGAAAATCTACGCTAGGATATCCGGCCAAGATCACATAGGAACACTGCTTACAATTATCTCGTGGCTTGTTTCGGACCAGGAGGTGTCTTCTCATGCTGCTAGGAACCGGGGGCCTGACGAGAGTGCACTCTCTGCATCGCTATGCTTGGGCATGTGTGGGTGGTCTTTTTCGCACAAGGAAATGCAATCTGAAATGGTTTTGCGGTGCGACCTGGTCAGCTTGGCGCGTGGGAAAAGTCTGAGTTGATATCATTTCCACACTAGTATGGTTGGCACCGTTAGCTTATGAATCTGTAGATTCTTGTTCTTGCAAGACACATGCGGGTATTGGGCTCACCTGCCTCTTCTGTTTTCCCGGAGACGTTTTAAACATGCCATGGATGGCCTGTCAAACTAAGCTACTTGTAGCTGTTTTACCTCATCATGGCTTGGTAGAGTGTTCTTCAAAATAGTTACGTCTTTGTCCGTCCTGCCAAAATCCTCGTCCACTTATTCTAATCTCTCTTCTGGGTAGACACCGTCTTGTGAGTTGTTTTTACATATGTCGCTTTCATCTCAGGTAATTCTTCTGCTTTCCGCTTTCCACGAAGCCCTATCTTCAATGATTGTTTTGCCTTCGTCGTTTGTCTTGATTTCTTTGTGAATGGTTTTCTTTCTACGTTTGCAAGGTAAGCAGTTTAACCTAAAGTTTAACCGATCTGTGTTAAAATGGAAGCCACCGTAACTTGGTTTTTTGTTTTGTCTCATCAACGGTTTTTCGATTCTTGAACCACATAATAACTTCCTGAACCAATTGTAAAGAAGCCGTGCAACACCGTTTACGTCTGGTGTCTTGCATGCCAACTTTCTCAATTTCTTAATGTCGTTTATCGTTTCTTAATGCTTGTCCATTAATTAGCTTAACAGACAGTTTTTTCTTATTAATTGGTGAGCGCAGAAATTCCCAAAGTAGAGCCAATAGACATACCCGAATGCACATAACAGAACAGCAATTCTGATATGATGCCGACACGTATGTTATCCGTGGCTTCTTCAGCGGATCGTAAAGCAGTATTCATCTAGAACTGAATATACAGAGGATCCTTTTGAGAGAATTTACAGCTTACATAAGGCTTACATCTTTTCATCTAGTGTTTTGTATTATGAGGAATGTGATCCAGAAGCAGGATTAAAGGAGATCGTTGAAACACAGCACAAGGTTAATGCCTTTCTCATGATTTTTATCCACGCAGAAGTATAATGCATTGGGGCGCATTATTAGGTTGGTTTATGTATCTTCAGGCTCAGCTGTAGGTGAGAAAAGCGACGTTACTGCTTCTAATTTACGCTTTTCGTGACCTGACTTTTCTAACAGATCTTGCATCGGTTTTTAGAGTATATTGGTTTCTGAAATTTCTGTGCTCTTTTATTAGCTCCACGCTGTAGCATACTCTGAGTGACAATCAGCCATATATCTTAGCATACATTTTATACTAATCACTATCTCCCTTCAGGTCTCTGTTTTGGTTTGGTTCACCTGTCAATAAAGTTATGTATTTCTTTTTTTCTTGAACACAGCCCCGCAAGATAAATGTCATTTTATTGTATGCTGATAGTTTCATACCATCATCATCATAAAATCTTGCTCTCCCACTTAGCAGGTAGTTAAGAGTTTTCACCTACACCGACGATGATGGACATTGCGTTGCTGATGGCCCATCCGACTCAAGGGGCTTGCCGCATGTGCTCACCGGAATAGTATTACTAGACTGTTCAACAAGATCTGAGCGCTGACTGTCTGCTCCTGCAGCTGCAATCTGCCATTGCCCATCCTTGGCATCCAAGCTCCCGAGATCTCCAGAGCCGGGGTTCTGCTGAGGCCCAACGTGGCCCCCAACCAGGCGCATGTTGGCGGCATTGAGCGAAGAGGAATCCTCCTTTTATCAGCGTACGCTGCGAAGACGGGTTTTGAAGCTGACAGCAGGTTGCAGGAGGCAAACCCCCAAGCAGCCACGCCTCCCCCTTGCTTTGTGTCAGGCCCCAGATGGGCTGAGAGGACCGCTCCGAATGCAGCCGGCTCAGGTGGCAGAGATGTGCGCTTCTGCTTGTATCGGCTGCCGACCTTCGCAAACATCGTATCGCAGCATTGCTGCCATGCGCGCTGAGGTATTACATCTTTGTACAAGATCTTTGTGTCAGGTCCCCGATGAACTCTTAACAGATTTCGTCTTTTCGTGAAGGACCTTTGAGTGATGTTCTAGCATGTAGCCACCCAAACGCAACTGATGCACTTCCGTATGATGGTCATGTGCGAGATTCAGACGGAACCACGAAATCAAAGTAGAAACTGCATGAAGCATCGCAGAACAGCGTTGCGACATGTTGCCATCGCGTTTCTGGCTCGTAGTCGGGTCTCGGTCGGCTCGTAGTAGCTCCAAGAACTGACGAGACCGTAAGCCTAGAGCAGGCAAGACTAGTTTTTGGAGAGAAGCTGGGGAGTTCGGTGCTTTCTCCTAGTCTAATATGAGAATAGACTAGGTTTTGGAGAGAAACTAGGGAGCTCGGTGTTTTCTGCTAGTCTAACCAGAAAAGACTAGGTTTTTAATGGAGAGAAACTAGGGAAGCTAGTCTAATCAGAATAGACCAGGTTTTTGGAGAGAAACTACGGAGTTCTGTGTTTTGTGCTAGTTTAATCAGAATAGACATGGTTTTTGGAGAGAAAGTGCGTCTCTCCCAAAGAATGGTACTCAGAGAAGGCGACAAAAGAATGCCTTGCAGCGGCTGTACTGTGTCAACCCGGGTTTACATGTTCAGAGCGTGGTTTCCTTAAAATCGTTGTGTGGTTCCGGTGCTTGTTTCTGGCGTGGTTACAACTCAACCTCGTCATGTGCGGGAACATGTTGCGAGGACTTCTAGGGCCTACCAAGGCCGTTGAGCAGGTGCACGGAACTAGGAAAGTCTGAAGTCTAAAGACTGAGGTCATGGCGGATTACGATGTCTCCAGCATGTCGGATGCCCAAGTGCCATTATGGCAGCACAGTGCCTCTAATGATAGTGAATCGTCAGTTGGAGACAACTAGCTGCGTATTGTGTGGCTTTGATGCAGCGAGATTTTGTGGGGTCTCATCATGTCCTGCATTTTGCTCTCTCCTGGGCCGCTGCTGGGCCGCCTCCAAGCAAGTTGCAATGGCAGTCTTGCACATGTGCAGTCCCCTCCCCCCCCCCCCCCCCAAACAGCCTGCGATGAGCAGTGAATGTGCTTGGCCGCAGATTCAGTTTGGTGGTGTGAGCCTGGTTTGCACTGCCAGTCGTCCTGACCGCTGCTCCTACGACACGAATTGCCCCAGCTTGCTCACGGACGAACACAGCAGGAACATTTGCGCGCTTTTCGCGTTGCTTGCCATGCCGTTGTGTTGGCATTGACCGCGCAGACGCAACGTTGGCTTTGGGTTGGATGCAGTCTTGTGGGCCGGTGATGGCTTCACGACTGCAACGATGCTCATCGGAGTTCAGTGTTCCGAAGGTGTTGCGACCTAGTTCACCATGACAAGATTGAATTGTTGCATCCCGGTCAGCTCGGAGACAAGGCCAATATCTCGGACTTAAACCATCGTTAAGATTCCCCGGCGGAAGAGGCCCACGTGAAACGGGCCACTATTCCGCAAGCCGGTCGCCCTGCGAGTTCTTCATGGATCAAGCAAGACCGAGGCACGCAACCACTCCATTTCTTAGTTTTTCAGGGTGGTGGAGTGGTCTCCGAGCGGCCTCTGTCTGCCTTGCCAGGGCGAGCCCATTGATTCTTTGTGGTTGGATTGCTTTGGCCTGTGGACTCGGACTCGTGCGGCCTCGCCTGGAGTGTCCAAAGATGCTGCCCTGCGCGGCAAAACCCCAAAAA